GCCCAAGCCTGAGAGGAGAAGAGCCCTGAGGCGTCCAGTGTGGACCAGCAGCTCTGAGGGCTGGAGGAGGTTCTGCCCAAAGAGTCATTTACCAGAGCACAGTGAAACCAGCAGCCCAAGTCCAAAAAAAGAAAGGGTTATGAACTAGATCTGTGTAATGACACAGCATGGGTGCGATTAATTGTTGTCAAAGCATTTTGCTGGCTGCATTCATCTCTTCTGTAGGAGAACAAAACTGTCATAACGATGACAACTTTATTCAACATTGGTGCAATTACCAAKCCTAAAAATAGGAAGCTAAGGGGAGACTTTTCTTAAGAAGGGGGAGCTGAGCTCTGTTCCCCATGTCGCAAACCGAGGACAGTACGCCCCCAGGACAGAGGGAGGAAAGAAAGAAAGCTGGATTCATTGAGGGTTGCTATGTGTTACTATGAGAAGCATCTTACCCGCTTCATCTGCATAATCCTCCAATGCTGTCAAGAGAGGGGCAGCAGAATAGGGTGCTGAAGAGCAGAATTTGTTGGTTCAAGATTTGTGGAGACAGGTTCTCTGCTCCAAGTCCTCTGTGCACRCACGATTCATTTCATTATCACAACATTCAAGGAAGGTACTATTACCCCATTTTACAGATGAGAAAGTTGAGTCTCAAAAAGGTTAAGAAGCTGGTACAAGAGCCAGCAACCCAAATGCTTATGATTATAATGTCATTCATGCTGACTTGCTTGCTGTGAAACACAGGAGGTGAGCAGAGCCACAGTCCTGCAATGGCCCTCCTCCTGTTTCATCTCTATTTCCCTTCTCTTRTCTTTATCACCTCCCATCCTCCATCTCTGGGGATGTGCATCACCCTTTCAGGAATACAAGTATGTTCAAGGTCCTAAAGTCAAAAAGACCCGGATTGGAATCTGCACTACTTATTAGCAATTGTGAACTTAGCTGGTGTGCTTGCCCCCATAAGCCTTAGGAATTCCAAGCACCCACTGAAGACAGTCCTACTTTGAATTAGTACCATGAGGATTTAATCAAATACTTTGCAGAGAGCCCAGTGCATGGTCAACTGCAGTTGTTATCATTACTGGCTAGAGGACATGGCATTGAAACAGGGAGTTAGGTCCTAGCCTGACCCCTCGATTCGGGATACTATCGGGGGTCAGGAGAGTAGCCAGGTCCAGGGATCTTCCCTCCATTCCCATATGGCCAGTGGTCTCCATGATCCCCCAAAGGGTAGAATTTTCCTGGRCATGGGCACAGGGCAGAGTGTGGATGCCAGGGAAGACTTGCCCTCTATGGAGTTAGGGAGCACTTGCCATGTGCCAGGCCCTGTTCTAAGTATTTGCAGATGTCAATTCATGTACTCTTTATAACAAACCAGTGTGGTGGGTGCTATTGTTTTCCCACCTAGCAAAGTGAACGTGAGCTTAAATGACTCCCCTCYCCTGGGCCTCTGGACCCAGCCATACAATGTCTATGGTTCTGCCTGTCTATAGGAACAGAATCGATTCACCAACCGTGTCCCCCGGAGAAGCTCTCTCCTGAACTCATTCTTGGGAATGGTGAGCTCTCCCTTGCTCAAGGAAAATATTCACTTTCTGATTATTAAGATTCTGGAAAAATCTAATGAGTTTCTCTTGCTTTATGTGGGTCTGATTTTGGGTCAATTCTGTGGAATACACTGAGCGACAGACACCCAAGCAAGCAGAATTATGAGGGAAGAGGCTGACGTGAGATCCCAGCTGTAACCACTCGCTGGGGATCTGCAGGTGATTCACCTGCTCAGAGTTCCCTCTTCTACAAAACAGGTGATATCTAATGGGGTGTGATGAGGCCCCCCAAAAAGGGTATGAAGTATCTAGAACAATGCCTGACCCCTCAGTCTGTCACTCTTGTGATCGTTTGGCCTCTTATTGAGCTCTTGCCCTGGGCTAGTTCACCTTAAAGGATTCACCTCCTGAAGACTGCCTGTCGTCCTCACCAGTAAAATGGGGATAATATTTTCCATCTGCCCTGGACATGCAGATGTAATTCCAGCGGCTGTAATCACAGCAGCTCTGGRAGTTGAKGCAGGAAAATCACGAGTTCAAAGCCAGCCTCAGCAACGGGGAGGCGCTAAGCAACTCAGTGAGACCCTGTCTCTAAATAAAATACAAAATAGGGCTGGGGATGTGGCTGAGTGATTGAGTACCCCCGAGTTCAATCCCCAGCACCCAAAAGAATAAAAATAAAATTWAAAAGATTATTCATCTGTTTCCTAGGAACGTTTTGAGAGTCTGGTGAGATTATGATATAAGCATTTGACTTTCAGGGGTGATGGGTTCAAAGGCAGATCTGCAACTGCTGTGCGACTATAGGCAAGTCACTGACCCTCCCTGAACCTAAGTTCCTCACTTACAAAATGGGAAAAAGAATAGTAATGACCTCACAGGATTGTGATGAGGATCCAATGAGATGTGAAAGCAATCTATAAAACGTAAAGTACTATCTAAGTGTGAATTGTTATCATTTACTACTGAGAGAGATGGCTTCAAATTTAATGCTCAATAAATAGAGAGCTTTTGGAAGTTGGAATCATGAATTTCCTAATTCTATTTTAATGGTCTTTGTGGGTTTGTGTTGTATCTGTAAAGGTATGCTACTGTGCATCTCTTCTCACCTTCAAGTTCAGTGATGTTCCAATAATAGCTTGAATGTGGCCATGATGGTAGTATTTATACCATAGAAATTGGTAAATGCTCCAGATTAGGCCCCATGTTCTTCCTCACTCCCCACCCTCTTCCCTTCCCCACATGCCAAACATTAACTAGTATACACTGTCCCTAGCTCTGGCACATTGCATGACTGCCTCAGAGGATCCAGTGACCAGAGTGGCACTGGGCATCCAGGACCACCAAGGGCAGCATSCCTACCCCTGATGCCATAGCAGTGRTTGCTGGGTCTGAGGACATGGGCACCAAGAGCTGCTGCCTTCAWGGCCAGACCTGCCACCCACCCCCAACAGGGATTTCAAATTATTTTGGAAGGAGATAAGAAACAAAAACAAAACAGTTTTATGGTGAGAATTAGCATGGGCCCTTTACCCTCAGCAATTCACTTGCATTTATGAAACAGCTGTGGGCGAGATTTGCTGTCTATGGCCTGGAATGCAGGGCTTGTTTACGTTGGGTGTTTTTGTTTGTTTGTTTGTACCAGGGATCTCACCCAGGGGGCCTTAACCACTGAGCCACGTCCCAGCCCTTTTTATATTTTATTTAGAAACAGAGTCTCGCTAAGTTGCTGAGGCTGACTTTGAACTAGCGATCCTCCTGCCTCCCAAATTGCCAGGATCACAGGCGTATGTCACCACACCCAGCTGAGGCTTGTTTCTCTGGATGAGGATAATTCATCTTCTCAGGAACACAGCCATGCTGAGACCAAGCAGTCCTGAAGGTAATTGTTCCTGTCAATGGTGACCCAGCCAGGAGGAAGAGTATTGGCCAAGGAAAGTCTTCTTAAAAACTCCACCTCCGATTCTCCAGTTTTTAGCCATTAGCCTCCCAGCAGAAGCCTGAATTTTGTTTTCTGTAGAATTTTTAGAAGCACAATGTCTTTTTGAAAATGTGCTTTTTCTACCTACCACTTTGCCAACCCTATGGAGACAAGCCCCGCCCATGATGGGGTTGAAATGAATGAGTCAGTGAGGTGRGACACCCAAGTTGTCGCTGCATTTTAAACATAGCACACAACGCATTACACAAACACCATTCATAAACCTGACTCACAGGTTTCAGAYGGGAGCTGGGTACATGTATAAATAGCCTGTGTATGTTAAACAGTAGAAAAGCAAGGAAATTTGGGGAAGAGGGTCAAAATCATTGTGCCCAATTTAAACATCATAAAAATCTCAGCCTTGTCATTATTTACAACCCCCGCACACCTCCCACCAGGAAAAAAAAAAAAAATGGAGAGAAAGCCAAGTGGAAAATTCTAAATAAGCTGATGTCCTCACGTTGAACTAAACAGTACAAATGATGCAGCATCATAAAATGAAGTTATAATTATGTTGTTTCACTTCCTGGCTGCCGGATGCCCACGGTACAGAGCAGCCACTAGACAGAATTTTCTGGGCTTGGAATTGCTTTGAGATTTTTTTTTTTTTTTTTTTTTTTTACAAAAAGGTGGCTTTGACTAGTGTTGACCAATTGATGCTCATTAAATGACTCCAATGGTTTTTGGTGGCAGCGGAAGAATCCACCTTGGGATGGTGAAGAACTAACACCTTGAAAGTGTGACAAATGTTTTAAAAATCCACTTCTCCCATATTCCCCCTCCATAGCTCACCCAGTGACGCTGGACATAACTTATTGCCAATAGACTACCCCAAGCCCCATTCATAAAGTTACTGCTCAGACTCTCACTAATCGTGGTATGAAAATGGCATGTTGGCAGGCTCATGGCTGGTTACTGGCCAAGGCCAACCCTGCAGTCTTCCAGCCCCTGCCATTGAGGTGTGGCAACAATTGAGAAGATGTACAACAAGAGTCTTGGGCATGGCCAGGACATCCTGGAGACTTCCCATCGTTCCCCTGTCCTCATAGACTCGGCCTTGACTCTGGGTCACTTTGTTCCTTAGTAGGCAGCCTCCAGCCTTCTGGCCTCATTCCCACCATCCGGGAACTCCATGTGAACTTGCAAGGTGCCATTGGATGAAGTAGATTCAGGAAGCAGCCAGCATCTCTCAGGAGAGGTTTAGTTTTTCATCACCTACTTCCAGGTGCCCTGCTGCTCAACCTGGGCGGGGGATTTGAACGCCAAAGATGGAGACGCCCAGGACAATGACAGACACACACAGTTAGCTCAGGCCCCCGCCGCTGTGTGGTTTCAGTTCCTTCCTGTTCAAGCACTGTCTGCCAGGTCTCTTTCTCACGTGTCCCCACTCTGGTTTCTCCTCCAGTCACCAGCAGAAGTGGACTTCTCAGCCTTGACCTCTCCCATCTCGGTCTCTGATGATGTGCGTGGCCTTTAGGTTARGAGCTCACTAAAGTGTAGATCATGCTGGATGCAAAAAGAAAAGGGCAAGCGGGTGTTAGCAGGAGCTTCCAAAAGACTGGTCCCCTCAGCTTCTCCATCCTTCCCGTCACTAGAGCATCTGGTCTACCCCCTACTGCTCCCCTTGGACTTCCCATAATGCTGAAATGAGCATTTGTTAGGACAACATACTGTGTCCCTTGGATAAAAGATGTGATTGCAATAAGTACCTATTATTATTCTCATGGGAGAGGGACTATTACGGTTCTTATTTCTTTTCCTGCAATTGCAGGGCAGGTTGCTGGGGKAGGCAGGGGGTACAGCAGATACTTTATGCCACCAGCTGCTGTCACATGTTTACATGATGGCTGTGTCCAGGGGCTCCCAGATGGTGATGCAAAATATGTTAGCACCACAGATCTCAAGTAAAGATCACCATCGCTACTATCAGCACCAGTGTGTGAACACAGCTCCCCGCCACCGCCACTGGGCATATGAACTATATGAATTCAACACTGGGTAACTCCCCGTCCCTCCTGTGTTAATGAACTCCAAACATTATGAGCATGGTTCCTAAGGTGGTGCTCCAACAGTACCAAGAGTGGAGGGGCATGCATCTTGTGCTCTTAGAAGAAACTTCAAGTTAATTCTGCAAGGCTACTGAATGATCCACACCAAAATAAAACACTTTTTAAATATTTACCAAAAAAGAAAATCACCTTTTCACATTACAGAAAGCAAACAGGATAGTCTAAGAAGCAAAACCCAGGCAAAGAAATGAAAATGTTTCTTTCTAAATCTTTGCAGCTGTGAGGACAACGAGCTCTTCTGAGCAGCCCATGCTCCATCTTCCACGACATGATGGGCCTGCTGTTCACAGAGCACTGCTGGCCAGGGCTAGAGCAAGAGGGACTCACTCAAACCATATGGCTAGTGACACTAACTCCAAGTCTAGTCCTTTTTCCCTTATGACATTCTCTTGTGGATGTCTTTAATTCACTTCTACTCATCCTTTTATTCAATAGTGATTGAGCGCCTACTGCATGCCAGGCTTCATTCTCAGTGCAACCCTCATCCCTGCCTCAAGTAAACATGTAGCCAAGTTGCAATAACAAACAACAAGGTTTTAGTGAGCACCAACTATGTGCTGGACACTGATCAGGGCACTGCAGATTCAGAGGCGAACAAAACAGAAAAGTTCACTGCTATCAAAGGACAAGTTAGCCAGAAATAATGTAATTAGAGAGTGAGAGAAATAAACCTGAAAAGAGGCAGCCACCATCCAGAATAACTGGGCAGGAGGATGGTGCAGCTTAGGAAGATAATATAGCCCTGTTATACTCTKGATTTCAAAAGCTCTTTCTATTGAGTGGGTTGACTATTTCTATGGAGTGACACTGAACTCACCAGCCACTATTAGCATCAGCCTCRTCTCTATCTCACACACGCACAAACATCTCCTGGCCCACAAGATAAACCGAGAAGGGATTGCCATATAGTTATATGCCATATAGCCATATTGTTAGCACCGTGGAGTGGAACAAGCTTGGGCCCTGGAGCCAGATGAACTGGTAATTATGAGCAGCCTCTTTGGACATGTTTCTTAACTTCTCTGGGGGCTCTCAGGAACCTCAAACTGTAAAATGCCAACCCCACCTTCACATGGTCCTCGGGGGCATTCACATGAGTCTCTAACCCAGTGCTGAGCTCAGAGGCAGCTCTGCACACATGTGCCCTTTCGTCCCTCTGACAGCAGCCCAGGCTGACAGTTCTGTGTCTTCTACCAGCTCTGGATTTAGGTTGGGAGCTCCTGAAGTGGGAGAAACAGGGTCTTCCAAGAGGCCCAAAGAGCTCCAAGAGGTCAGACTTCACAAAGAACATGGGCGCACTCAGCCCACCACCCATGGGCCTGGTGGGGCAAGGTGGCGTTATTTACAAGTTTGTTTTGGAAACCAAGTAGTTAACATGAAGGCAGCTGGAGTGATGGACTCGAGGACAGATCGTGAAGCAGAATGTCAGGAACATACTCAGTTACAGAATGATCACGTCTACTGAAAGGCCCGGAAGCCACCAACAGCATCCTGCGCCACCCGCTCCCGCCCCCACAGCCCAGCAGACACAGAGCAGCATTGCTTTCTGTCTGGGGATTCAGATGCTTCAGACTCCAGCCTTTACTGCAACAAAACAGAAATGAGGGCACTTGGCCTGACTCAGTCTCCTGGACTAGGGTGGATCCCAGGCTCAGGGGCAGGAGTCAGGGGAAGTACTAGCTTTGTTCTGACAGTTTAAAAGAGGGACAAGGCTGTCTCTGGGGTCAGGCCACTCAGCCTATGACTCTGCAGAAGAGTGGTCTGCAGACCCACGAATAAAGTAAGATTGGGTACATTCCAGAGAAAAGACCTAAGAAGGAGGTCACCTAAGAAACCACTAAGGTATGAAGTCCCTCAGGCCATGAGAGCTTTGTCCCCATGACAGGAACCAGCCTGAGTTGCTAAAAAGCTCAAACTTGAAGCCAGAAAGACTTGGGTGAATTGCCGGGCATCTCAGAAATCACCAGAGGCATTAAAAACCCCTAGGTTCCCTGCAAGTTGAAGCAGGAAACTCCATTGGGGTGAAACTCTGAGCCTGAAGCAACTCTTGACTCCAAGAAGAAAGTGCTAGAGGAACCCTGAATCCTGGAAGAAGCTGAGCCTGCAGACACAGGGGGTTGAGAGGGGGGAGAAGRCCAACAAAGCAGACGCCCCAGGAGCAGTGCTCACCATGAGGTATGCATTTGACCCCCACCACCACCAGGGGCGCATTTAAAGTACAGACACCTAGGCCTCTGAAAGTCTGACTTGTAAAACTAGGTCCAGAAATTTGCATTTTTAAGAAGGATGTTCTCTGCACTTCCCATCCATCATTGATAAAGACTTGTCTAGTGTTTCTCTAAAATAGGCAGTAAGTTAAGAGTTGARGTTTGGCATCAGCCTGGGAATAGACTTCCCGCTGTGACACTATTAGCTGTAACCTTGGGGAATTATCTACCTTCTCAGAGCCTATGTCCCCCCCTTTTTTTTTTAATACAAGGATAGAATTTATCTCGTACAAAGCTCAGAGCCAGGCTCATTTTTAAATGCTGGACAACACAGTTACTTCCCAGCCTACCACAGTCCAATCCAAACCCAGAGGTGTCTAAAGAGTCTAACATCCCCACTTCTCCTCTAATCAACTATCACCCTGTCTGGAAACAGCACTGGGATGTTGGGGGATATCCATGGGTCCACAAGAGGTGGCAAGGTAACAGGAGAGAGGCCCCAAGATAACCACAAAGAGAAACAGGAAGGAGATGTTTCCAAAAAAGATACTCTGGGGTATCAAACCATAAGAYGGTCTGTTTATAGCGACCTGCTTAGCTAGGACATTCTGAGTGAAGGAAGAGGTGAAAAGGTGAGATTCCCAACAGGGAGTTGCAAAGTCAGCAGAGTGGTGTTATATAATGTGGGAAAATTGTGAGCGTAAGCATTTAATGACCCAATGTGCCACATTGCAGAGCATGACTKCCTCTGGGGGTTGCTCTTATGATGCCCAAGAATCTTTAGAAACAGGCTGRGGGAAAAGGGTCTTGGGATGAGGCTGTGCTCCTAGGGCCACAGGTAACTTGATGGGTGGAGCGACAGTGTTCTGGGAAGGAGTGGCCAATGGCAATTCACCAACGATCTCCTGAAAGATGGTGGTAAAATGTGTTTAACTGTGGCCATAGGGGTGTGCACAGGACCTTCTGCCTCTTACTACTTTATACAGAAGTCCTCGATCCTGAATTAGAGTCAGACACAAYGGACCGTGACTCCCACCCTCATCAGCCAAGCCCCTGGAGGCAGCCTCCCAAAGGAGGTAGAAATTCCCTTGGGAAAATTCCCTTCCATTTTCTGCAAGAGTCAAATCCACCTGGAGGGGCAGAAACTCACCAGTAAAGGTAGTAGAAGAAGGAGAGGAGGTAGAAGGCCAGCTTACACCAGGCCTCCTTCTGACAGTAACTCAAGGTGTCTGCGTTCATGACCACCGGTGGGTCGTAGGCCAGCTCTGAGCTATCTGCCGGACAGTGGAAATACCTGCAGGGGAAGAGGACAYGGCATCATTGGCTCGGAGGCTCTGGGACTTCCAACATCACCTGGGTCAAGCCCTCCTGATCCAGGACTTCCCTCCCGTCATCCCTACCAGTCTTCTTCCTTCTGCCGGGCACCACTCAAGTGTGGCTCTGCCACCACCTTCTAGCAGGTGGTAAGTCCTTCAGGACTCGGATCCACTAGGATCAGAGTGACTTTCCCATGTACAATGACGCTCTGACGGAAAAAAAAAAAATATATGTCACCTGGTGTCCTCTGGAAGTACTAAGAAGAGCTTCCTTTCAGTACAGACGCMACTGTGGTAGAGGTAGGCCTCTGTGCCACTGTACCTACGTTCTGCCTTAAAGTTCATTACTTTGGAACTGGGGATGTAGCTCTGTGGCAGAGAGCTTGCCTGGYATGCACAAGGTCCTGAATTTGATCCTCAGYGCAGCAAATAATAATAACTATTTTGAATTAAGTATTTCCCTCYATGCAAACCCTCAGTGGTAGAACTCTAAGAGGGACATCATATTCCCATTTGGATATAGAGTAATTTTTAGSTAATTCTTTTCTTTATAGAAAGACCCAAAGAGCAGAAAGAACATTCTCCATCCATGGGGAAGCTGGAAGAGTAAAAGAGCTATGGGTGGAGGAGAAAGACCACAGCARGCTGTCTGCTTCATAAGCCCCAAATCCACACAAGCGTCACACCAGTGGCCAAGGCCAGGGAGGAGAGCACCCCCTGGATTAGCTGCCCTCAGGACCTGACCTTTAGCCCCTACCAGGACACTGGCTGCACCACCTCAGCCCAAGAACACAGGGCAGCTGAATTCACCCAGCAGGCTGCTTTTCATTCCTCTGGAAAAGGAATCCTGGGAGGAGGCAGGAATGAGAATTCAYGGCTCCTTCTAGGTTCGGGGACAGGCCAGTGGTTCTCGATCCTGAGGAAGGACCAGRTGACCCATCCTAGTGGTTCTGAAGACCATCCCTATAACACAGCAACTTGCAGACCTGGCGTCTCAGTTCCCTTTTCCTTCCCCTTCAAAGAATTGCATTGACGGGATCTGTCACCGACATTATGCAGAGAGGACATCACAAGCCAGATTCAATGATACCTGCCAGATCATAGCCCTCTGGGCCACTCACCTCTCCTCTTTCTGGGAGGAAATTTCAAAACCTATTTGCTTTCACTGTGGCTTTGTTCCCAGGTGACCTCATTAAGTGGAGGCAGAGGGACAGGGTGACCAAATGTTTTGATGGAAAGAACCAGGGTTCTGTTTCCTGGTTACCAGAATGATCTTCCTTAGATCAGTCATTAACCTGTCTTGGCCTTAACTTCTCATCTATAAAACGGGGATGAAATTGCCCACCTCAAAGGACAGTTGTGATGATTGTGTGAAGTGATGTATGCAAATAACCTGCAAAAAGAATGGGCACCGAATCAGTGGCAGACAGCTCTACTTTTACTGAAGCAGACTGAGAGTGAGAGCAGAGGGACTTTAATGGCATGAGAAACATCCCTGACATGGGTCTGTTGAAAAAGGAAAACCAGGTGTTCAAGGACTCTGATGTTTTGCTCTTTTGTTTTTGGTACTGAGGATTGAACCCAGGGGTGCTTTACCCCTGAGCCACATCCCTAGCCCTTTTCATTTTTTATTTTGAGACAGGGTCTCACTAAGTCACTTAGGGCCTCACTAAGTTCCTGAGGACGTCCTCAAACTTACAATCCTCCTGCTTCAGCCTCCCAAGTGGCTGGGATTACAAGTGTGCACCACCACACATGGCAAAGACTCTGTTTTTTTTTTTTTTCCTTTTTATTTTATTTTATTTTATTTTTTTTATTATTGGTTGTTCACAACATTACAAAGCTCTTGACATATCATATTTCATACATTAGAATCAAGTGGGTTATGAACTCCCATTTTTACCCCAAATACAGATTGCAGAATCACCTCGGTTACACATCCACATTTTTACATACTGCCATATAAGGTAGCAGAATACAAAAGACTCTGGTTTTTAAGGAATTCTTTATTCTCATTCTTTTTTATTTTTTTCTTTCATGTTTGGGCTCTTACTAATTGTGTTAGTAACAGTGTATAGTATATGGGATCTTATAGCAAGATCCTATCAGGGATCCAAAAAAGTAAGTCAAGGTCCCTACTGGCAAGACTACAGTTACTCTTCCTCTACGGTTGCACAGAGTCTGAGCCTAGGGGCACTGGTACTTTCCATTTTCTTCCATTTAGAGCAGTCCCAGGCCTAAGAACAGTACAACAATCAAAGTCTCACACATTGATCACATTTTTCTTTCTCTTTGGTGGTGCTGGGGATCAAACCCAGGGCCTCAAGCATGGTAAGCACGTGCGGCATGAGCTACATCCCCACCCCATGACCACACTTTTGATACCCTCCATTGACAGCTCCCAACTTAAAGGACCTCAGCATAAATTTCCTTTAGGGGGAGAAGAGACAGCGCCTTGGGCCACATGTGAGGTAGCCAGGAAGTGGACTGAGATTCACACCATGGAGAGAGAGATGGAACCATGGTCCTGCCAGGCCCAGGGTAAGTGACCCTGGGCAGCTGACTCACCCTGATGAGTCTCTGTGTTCCCTCATATGATGCAGGGAGAACTACACCCACCTCAGTCAGCTGTCGCAGATATTGATCCAGATAAAAGGTGGTAAAAGGTGTAATTACATTACAACACTGTAATTATTCTATTTGGCTACTCTCTGTGTTCTGTGTTCTCTCTTTAACAAATTGCTTTTACTTAACCCCAAAGAGTCGTGTATTGAAGGCTTGGCCCCCAACTTGGTATTATTGGAGGTGGTAGAACCATTAAGAAGTTGGGGCTGAGTGGGAGGTCTTAGGTCACTGGAGTTGTGCTCTCAAGGAGAATTATGGGACACCAGTCTCCTTCTCTGTCTGTCTCTGTCTCTGTCTCTGTCTCTGTCTCTGTCTCTCTCTCTCTCTCTCTCTCTCTCTGTGTGTGTGTGTGTGTGTATCTATGTCCCTCCTCCTCCTCTCTCTTTCTCTCTTTTCCCAGTTGCCAAAAGGTGAGCAGCAGCTTCCTCTGCTAAGTGTTCCTGCCCTGATGTATTGTCTCACCACAACCCAAAGGCCATGGGACCAATCAAGTACGAACTGAAACCCCCAAAACTATGAGCCAAAATAAACCTTTTTTCCTTTCTAAGGTGATAAATCCAGGTATTTTGTTACAGTAACAGAAAGCTGACTGACACAAGGTACAACTTCTCTATGTAACCAAGTCACTTTCCTTTCCTCCCTAAACCTTTGATTTCTTATTCTTTGTGTTTGATCAATGGCATCATCATCCTCCCAGCCTCCCAGCCTCCCAGCTTAGAAGGTCCCTCTCACCCCACTCCTTTACTCAATTACTGGCCAAGTCCTGCCCAGTTTACCCACAGGTGTTCTCCTGTTCTCTCATTATTTCAACTTCTACTCCAAGGGTCAGATCTTCTTCATCTGGAATTTCACTAAGACCCTGAAATTAATTTTCATCCTTAATATTTCACTTTCTAGCTCATTACTTCTTTGCACTTCTTACCAGGGCTACCCTCCTAAAACTCAGATCAGGAAATACCATTTTCCTCCACCAAAGCCTCTTTTAGCTTTCCCTTTCTTAGAAAATAAATTACCTCCGACTTTTTCATCAAATCTTCTCAGGCACCCCACATAAGATTCCCAGCCTGTTTGTCAATTGCATCTCTTCTTACCCCCTCCAAGAACCCTACATCCAACCACACCAAGCAAATGCTGCTCCCCAAACACACAAGTGCTCTCTTACTTCTGGGCCTTTGCAGATGCTTTCCAGATTTTCCAGTGTCACTCTTCAGTCTAATTTAAGTGTTTCTTTCTCTACTCTCCTATAGATATTCATCATATGTCTGTTAAGAGTATATTTTCAGGCTAGGGATGTAGCTCAGTGGTAGAGTCATGCCTAGCACACAAGAGGCATTGAGTTCTATCCTCAGCATCAAAATAAATACAAATACAAATAAATAAAATAAGATAAATCATGTCCATCTACATCCTAAAAAGAAAGAAAGTCAGAAAGAGAAAGAAAAGAATGTACTTTCCTCTGCCCTAGGATAGATACCTTGAGAGTAGGGGTTATATTTTAAACTCATCTTGGAATCCTACACAATGCCTAACAGGTAGTATGTGTCCTGGACATTTACTAAATGAAAGAGTGAAATGCTCCTGATGTGACAAAATAAAAACTAAATGAAGATTARGTATTTCATGGTCAACTAATGATGGTTTGGGCGTCCAGAGCTCTGGGAGCAAGAGGTCCAAAGGGCAATTTATCTGCACAATTACTTTCTCTTCCATTTTTTAAATTCTCTCGTCCATGCTTCCTATATCCATATGGTAGCTATATTTTACAAAAAGCCCAAATCACATGATTTGACACATGGCTTTAGTAAGGAAAAGAATATGTGAGATCAGAACTGTCCCAGAAAATTTGGCCCATCTGGTAGGTGCTTTTTTTATTAAGATATGACTTACATACCATTAAATTCACCCTTTTAAAGTGCACAAGTCAGTGGGTTACAGTGTGTTAGAGAGTTGTGTACCATTACCACTAATTTCAGAGCATTTTCATCATCCTAAAAAGAAAATTCTAAACCCATTAGTGGTCACTCCCCATTCCTGCTCCCATCCAGCCCTGGGAAGCCACTAATTTGCTTTCTGTCTCCATAGATTTGAGTATTCTGGACCTTTCAAATAAATGGAATCATAATATGTGCCCATTTGTATCTGGCTTCTTTCCATTTATATTTTCTTTAAGATTCATCCATGTTGTAGCATTTATCAATATTTCATTTCTTTCTATTGTCAAATTCTATTCCATCGCATAGATATATCACAGTTTGTTTATCCATTTACCAGCCAATGAGCACGTGGGTTGTTTCCTTTTTTTTTTTTTTTTTTTTTTTGGCTATTGTGAAGAACACTGAAGCCATTTTTAATACTGACCTATAAGAGCTGGGGTTGTGATCAATGGAGCCAATAAAAAGGACCTTCTCTTATATGGTCTTACGGCCTAAGAGCAGTTTGGGAAAGGGAAATTGGAGAGGGAGTCCCCCAAAGGAAGGGATGAAGGGATGGCACTAAGTGGCTGATCTATTTGTGGGACACTGTCATTTGAGAGCAGGCTATTTGGGCAGAAAAGAGGAGGATGGGCCAGCCTCTGACAGACTTACCTCCAGAAGTGATAGAACAGTAGAGGGACATTCAGCCCCAGGGTGAGCCACTCCTGGGCACACAGGAACATGATGCAGAAGAGGCTGTGGATGGAGTACTCTGGCAGCACCAGCTGAAGAGGAAGCAGAGACACAGGCCTGGGTCAGAGAAAGGAAAATCGGATCCAATTCCCCCAGCAAGTGATTCTGCCTGGACACAGCCCACTTACACCCTGGTAACACCACACCCTTCCTGCAGCAGCCTGGAGTCACGGCCCCAGGATGGTCACCATTTATGGGAAGTTCTCCATGTTTTACATTCAATTGCAAATGGACTCGGGCCCTCTACACTTGCTCCTGTGAGTCACTGACCCCTTTGAAGAATGGAGCAGGCGATCCAGCACTGTGATATCTGAAGCAAGGCAGGACCACAAGGACAAAAGTCCTAGGGCTCCTACTGATCCTCTAACTGCCTTGTTCTTGTTTTTCTAGCCTCTGTGCATCCTTTTCTAGTATCTCTTTCAAATACAGGAAAGCCCAGAAAAAAAAATTGAGAAATAGCATTTGGCTTGATGATAAATAAGAATCCAAGAGAAAAATCAAGGAACAGTGATAAAGAGGGATAGTGCAACCTTGGGATCAAGGGACAAGGGAAAAGAAACCAGCCCAGACCAAGAAGGGCCAGATGGAGGGAGCCATCAGCAGGAAGATGAAGCTCCCCCACTCCCAATCCAGCCACACAGAGTAAAAAGAGCTTAAAATAATTATGAACCCTCTGAAGAGTGCTCACATTTTACCAGAAATGAAAGCTGTAAGCTAAAGGGTGATTGCAAGGGAGAAATTTGGTGTCTAAGACAGTATTAAGGGGAAGCCTACAACTATGCAAAATACATCATCTTACCCAGACATGTGGGGAGAATTTATATATATGTATGTATGTGTGTGTGTATATATATATGTGAATATAATATAAATATACATTTTATATAAAAATATATACACTTTATATAAATAATTTTTATATTTTATAAAATATAAAATGTTATATTTATAAAATTTTTTATAAATTTTTTATTAAAAAATTTATATATTACAATTTGTTTTGTTTACATATATAATTTATTTATATAATATAAATTATGTTTATGTTATATAATACAGAGACTATAAATTACATGATATTATATCTAATATATAAATTGTTATTTATATTATATATTACACAGTTGGCCTCCATATCCATGGATTCAGCCAACCAAGACTGAAAATATTTGAAAAAAAAATGTTGCCTCTGGGCTGGGGATGTGGCTCAAGCGGTAGCGCGCTCGCCTGGCATGCGTGCGGCCCGGTTCAATCCTCCAGCACCACATACCAACAAAGATGTTGTGTCTGCCAATAACTAAAAAATAAATAAATATTTTAAAAAAAAATGTTGCCTCTGTATTAAACATGTATGTTTTTCTTGTCACTATTCCCTAAACAATACCACCTAATAACTACTTACTTAGCATTTTCATTATATTCAATATTACAAATATCTAATACAGACAAATCTAGAGATGATTTAAAGTCTATGGGAGGATGTCATAGGTTATGTGCAAATACTATGCCATTTTCTATAAGGGACTTGAGCAAGTGTGGATTTTGGTCTTCACAGGGGATTGTATATCCAAACCCCCACAGATATCAAGGAACAACTGTATCATATTATGTGTGTTGGGGGGTCCTCAGCATCTTATATTTAATTCATTATGAATGTTTTGGTCTTCCTATCAATATCTTTCTGTCCTTCAAGGCCCAACTCAAATTCCACTTTCAAAATAAAGTTCTGCTCACCCTATCCTGTACCTCTTAGCCCCTCCACATGCTTTCTGACCCTCTCTTAGGGGAACTTTCCACTATCTATCCATACTGAGCCATTATCCTCCTCTTTCTAATGCGCATGGATATACTACAGTTCTCTGTAAGCTGACTGGGTCAAAGTCTATACTTTTCTTATCTCCTTTTGCAAAGTGCTTTGCACAATGCCTGACACTTAGAGACTTTACAAATATTTGATAAAATGAACTGAACTAACTAAATGTGTGCATTTGCCAAAGGTTAGCTGGCAGTGGAAATACGGCTTGTGTTCACAAACCAAGACTTCTGGGGTCAGGGGACTGTCCATTGTAGGTACAGAACATGGCTTTGGTCTCTCATTTTAGGCAGATGAGCTAACTGCCCCATATGGCAGATACAGAGGGAGAAACACATATGCACACATTAAAAATAAATACATGTACGGGTACACGTGTAAGAAATGCATTTTGTAACTAAAGGGCATCTTCTTTATTTTCAAAGTCTGATATAGAATGAATTGCATTTGCTTAGATTTGCATCTGCCTTAGATTTGCCAGACAGTAATCTTGGAATCAAAGCATAAGAGCCATCATTCAAGAGGTTGTTGACCCTTGATGGGTAAACCAGGCATAGTCTGCCCCTATGAGTCTCAGCCACCTAGTGGGAGGTCTCTGTCATTTCTCCTGGAGGACCTCAAAGCTGCACTTACCAACTCCATCTGCACTGGGCCAGGGCACCACCCTGCCGCTGGCTTTCTCTTTTGAATGTATCAGCACAGGGCAGGAGGGGTGGGTAATGGCCGTCAGTTCTGCTATGCCTACCTCTACATTTTTTAATCATCACTTTCAACCACTTATACCAAGGTAATTAACACATTTAGAGACAGCCACCCTGGGTCCAAATCATCCATTATAGCTCCATCCCCAACTCTAATGCCAATGACAAATCTCTGACTGATTACAGTTTGGATTTCAGGCTCCACTATTAATCACCACCGTTGCTTCTCTCTCCAGGGCTTGATTTATAGTGGAAGTAGCAACCTTCAAAGCAGGGAGGATTCGTCACTGTCCCTATGGAGAGGAAATCTACTCAATAGAGGCCAGCTGGTCTCAGAGGTCTCCAGTCTTTTGAGGGCTGAGGGGGGAAATGCTTAAAAATTATCCTATTCTGATGGCTTCTCCCAATTGCCTTCCACTATCTGGAACTCTGTACAGGATCCTCACAAGTGGGACAGGTGCCTCTCATTAATCTAGGGACACTTCTAGGAGTGACTATGTCCTTAACATACACATACTTTGTCTTTCCTATGTCCCTAGGCATTCCTTGTCACAATCGAGTGAACAATGTAGGGAACTTATTCCTTCTAGACCAAATGGAAATCAGCCAGGCCACTGGCACAAGACTTGAATCATGGCTGTTGCTGTACCTGCCACTCACTCCCAGCATTCGGAGCATAGGAAGAAGGCAATTCCCAGCCCCTGGTTGTTAGGTGGGGCCTCTGGACTTTGAGCAGAAGAGATGAGAAGGCTAGAGGATTTAATGACCYCTACAGAATGCTCCAGAGCCTCTTTCTTTCCACTCAGACATAGTCAAAAGCATTTAGCATGGTGGGCACTTCATCATCTTGAAACCCAAGTAGGAGAAAGGCCCCCAGGCAACTTGTGATAGACTTGGAACATGACAGAGGAACTTGTTGTTTTAAGCTATTGAGTTGAGTGTTGTTTCTTACCATGGCATAATTGAATCTATCTTGTCTGATACGCTCAGTAAGCTCCAGAAGGAGGAATCAATGGGAAAAGCAGTTGTGTTCTTCCTTCTTTGTCCTCCTCCTGACCGTCCATCCAGCCTTTTCTTTAACAAGCATCAAGGCTGGTGTGACACACTTCCCTGTCACTGCCACCAGGCAGACACAATGCTTATTCATTTGTGTGGGCAGTTAGACTGGGAAGCCCCTCCCAAGTCTAAGAGTGCCTACCTAAATCTACCAGGCCACAGAGAGAGGTTGATTGAATCACGGACCACAGCCCCATGACCCTGCATCGTTCCTCAGCACTGGAATACATTGTTTTTTTCATAAGAGAAATGGTTGAATGGTGCCAATCTCTCTTTTTCATTTACCAAATGGTAAAGGAGAAAACATTTCCTGCAGGCCATGGAATTCCTGTGTCGTGCTATGCCCTGCTTTCTATAGTCAAAAGGTATTTGTGGGATTGCTGAAAAGGCTGCGATTCATTCCAGCCAAGGGGATCATGGAAGATGTGTTATAATCAAGGCAGAATCAAGGGACGTTGGAAAGGATGAGTAGAACCTAATTGTGTGTGAAAACTGGAGGTCAGCTGTCTAGAAGAGAAACAATGGGAATGAGAAACAGACAGACAGAAGTCACTGGCCCGGGGAGCTCCTTCAGATGCCACCTAAAGGGCCACTTATTTAATGGCATGTAGGCCAGGCCTGATACCAGGTAAGAAGTGGATCCATGCAAATTCTGTTCCACTGCTCCTGGCCACCCCCCACCCCCGGATTCTAGTACTCAATTTCCATTTGCCGGCCAACATTTCCACAGGGAAACTCCCCACCAGCTTTGTGCTGGATTCTCGAGTTCCTCCCAGGAGCTGCAAACGTCATGGCTTAAATTTCCAATTTCATTAAAAACCATCTTTCCTATTAGTCTCCACCTGAGTCCATTTTCAAATCTTGTCATTRCTTCTTCACAGCCATGGGCATTGTTCCTCCTTTTTTCTTTCTTTCTTTTTTTTTTAAATATATGACAGCGGAATGCGTTACAATTCTTATTACACTATTTTCATATCTCTGGTTGTATACAAAGTATATTCACACAATTTGTGTCTTCATACATGTATTTTGGATAATAATGATCATCACATTCCACCATCATTAATCACCCCATGCCCCCTGCTTTCCCCTCCAACCCYTCTGCCCTATCTAAAGTTCATCTATTCCTCCCATGYTCCCGCTCCCTATCCCACTATGAATCAGCCTCCTTATATCAAAGAAAATATTCAACATTTGGTTATTTGGGATGGCTAACTTCATTTAGCATTATCTTCTCTAACTCYATCYATTTACCTGCAAATGCCATGATTTTATTCTCTTTTATTGCTGAATAATGTTCCATTGTGTATATATGCCACATTATTTTCATCTGTTCATCTATTGAAGGGCATCTAGGTTGGTTCCACAGTTTAGCTATTGTGAATTGTGCTGCTATAAACATTGATGTGGCTGTGTCTCTATAGCATGCTGTTTTTAATCTGTGAGGTAAATAGAGAGCCTA